TCCAGTGCGATCCCACAGAGTTGGCCTCCTCAGGTGCCGTTGGCCAGACAGTGTCGGCTAGCAACCCCCAGGAGAGCCTTCTCTGTGGGAGCGCCTTCCCTCTGGAATGAGCTGCCCCGGAGCTTCGTATAATCCCCAACCTCTGGTCCTTCCGACGCGCCCTAAAAAGTTGGCTTTTCCAGCAAGCCAGCCTGGCCTAAACAAAATAAAATAAATGATTGATTATTGTTAATTTTAATCGATTTTTTTTAATGTTATTGTTAATCTTAGTTGGGTTTGTTTTTTGGATACTCTATCTAATTTCTTTTAAACTTTTGCAATATGTGGTTTTTTTAATGTTGTACGCCACCCTGAGTCCTTGGGAGAAGGGCGGCATATAAATCCAATAAACCAAACCAAACCAATACCAGGGGCGAGTTTGCAGATATTACATTTGAGAAGATATTCCACAGAAGGGAAGTGTTTGCAAAAAATTGCTTTGTGTGAGTAGGTAGAAGGATTTCCAGCAAGCATTCTCTGAAAACACTCTGTTGTAGAAAGCAGTCTCACGGACGAACACTCCTAGGTCACACAGGATTTTAGAGTTTGTAATAATTATCTTGAACTGCATCCAAGATCAACCAACAACCAATGCAGTTCTCGAAATATTGATAGTGCATATTGGGTTCTTCTTGTTAACATGTCAGCTGCTGCATTTTACGTTAATTGCAACTATTTCCTTCTTTATTCCAATATCATCTAAAGTAGCTTTGAGATGTATAAAATCCACCAAGCTTTTCCACCCATTACTTTGCTGATTCCAATATGGGTGAACAGAACTTTCTTCAACAGGTTACATTTTCATTATCAGTACAGGTATTAAAACAATATTACAAAGAGACCTAATTCCAAAACTGTCCAAAACCAGTCTTAAGGTGTGTGAAATCTACTAGGCTTTGTCACTCATTACCTTGGAGGAAAGTTAGGTTCTTGACAATACAGACCGATTGAAGGAAATAAATTCCATCCTACTACTGCTAGTCCTCGATTTACAACAGTTCATTTAGTGACTGTTCAAAGTTACAATGGCACTGAAAAAAAGGACTTATGACTGTTTTTCACAGTAATGATCTTTGCAGCATCCCATGATCATGTGATCAAAATTCAGATGCTTGGCAACTGGATCACATTTATGATGCAGTCACGTGATCACATTTTGTGACCTTCTGAACAAGCGAAGTTAGTGGGGAAGCCAGGTTACTTATCAATTGTAGCAATTCATTTAACAACTGTGGCAAGAAAGATTGTAAAATGGGGCAAACTCATTTAACAAATGTTTCCCTTAAAACCAGAAACATTGAATTCAATTGCGGTCATAAGCTGAGGACTTGTACAGCTGTCTATTGATTCAAGATTGGTGATTAGTGTTTCATTTTAGATTTCATTTTAGAGAAAAGCTCTGTGGCATATGCATTTTGATGTTGGCCAATTCCTTGTTTTCAGAAAATATAAATTACCATATGTTGTGCCCACACACCTGCAATATCATATATAAAAATGCTAAAATAATTTTAAGTGTCACAAGCTACTTCATACAAATGCCACATTCAGAATCGGGCAGCCCACTTATAATCATTTGTTTTTGGTGAGTAGAAATGCTTATCATTTACTCTATATTTGAAATTTTATTTACTAAATTTAAAACTTAGCAATTATTTTGTAACTAAAAACACCCCCTGTAACTTTCGTATATTTTTGAGAAACAATGGCATATTACAATTGTTATAGGCATTAACCTATTAATCTATTTAGTTTGCAGCAACTTCACACAGTAATTATAAAGTTACTTTAGACAAGTATAAATTGCACTAACAAAAAAAATGAAAATAATGATTGTACTGTTTAATTTCAACGTATATGCTCTGAGAACAAAAACAGGAAAGCTTCAAAATCTTCATAAGTAGAAATTGCAGAATTTTATAGGACCTATTGTGTCTGGGATACATACATTGCTTTTGTGATTTTTTAAAATTAACAATTCTATGACAAATTTGTTTCAGTTTACAGAATAAATGTAAAGATGCAATCTTAAAATGTAACCAAGTATGTTAGCCCTGTTTTAGAATATCTGTGTATCAGAGGGTTTCCTGCACAAACATTTCATAATATATCAGTTTATACAACAGCAATAACATTGGTGAAAATATTCAGAATTAAATAAAGTAAATCTAGAACCATTAAAGTCAGTGCATTTTCCAAAGGCTGTTAGTGGGAAATCAAACTATAGAGTTTTGTTCTCACAGTACTGAAATAATTAATGACAGCAAAAGTGATTAATCAATGAATCAGCAACTATATCTTTCAGTTCTAAAATATTCAATTAAAATCTGTACAGGATTGCTCCATACACATTTGACAAGGCAACTTTAATTAGATAGATGAAAAAATCAGTTTATTAAAACTAAGTAAAAATAAACTTACCACCATGTTTTTCTACTTAAATATCCTCTAATCCATCTCTGAATAATCAAGATTGGTGAATGATGAACTAGAACATGATTGATCTTGGAAATTATATTTCTTACTATTTTCATTTCTTCCTGAAAATTAGTATCCTAAAAATAAAACAAAGCAATATAGCAACGTTCATCAAAGTGCATTAAAGCCAACTATGCTTTACGTCTTTTTAAATGATATTTCTGAAAGCAATTATTTTGGATAAAGCATCCTAGCTAATTTGTTTTGGCTTATAAATATATATTCTGGTAATAGATTGCTTTTATGTAAACCTTTTTAACTGAACTCATAAGAGGTCATAAATTTGTCGTATTCTTTGTTGGAATAAATTGAACTATAAGTTCCATTTATCATAGAAACAGACATTTACATCATTTTTTATTTTTTTTGCAAGGGCATTTCATATATTTTTGCTGTTCCGAGCAGCAATTTTTTCCATTTTAGTTTAGCTGGCTTTGGTCAATAGCTGTCAAAACTAGAAGCAGGGATACTCACAAATTGTAAGTTGATGCTAAATTTAATGCTGAGAAATAATAAGCAAAAGTAACAAATTCAATAGAAATGGTACTTTCGGAATCAAACTGCTCTTTCTTGGCAGGATGGATATAATGAACTATAATTTATCACTGACAAGATTTTTGACTGACTCGTAGAATCCTAACTTCTCTTATCTTGTTCAGCATGTACAGCTTAAGGGACAATGTAAAGATGTTTCTCAGATCCCATTTGTACAAATCTGCTCCTATTCAATGTCTGACTGGGATTGGTAGCACAATGACCAGGACAAAAATGTTCCAACTTGGGTACACAGAACCAGTAACTGCTAAATTGTTTAATATTATACATTTAATAAATGTGTGTGCACTTAGGTATGTAGTATGATGTTCTTCCACGAATGTTATAAATAAGCTATTTTGAAAAATGTAATATAGTTTGACTATACAGGAATTTCATAAATAAAGATTCAACAGGGATTTTTATGAACAGCATTTTTCTCTCAGTATAAAATTCATTATTTCAGAATTCAAATAAAATCAATTAAAAGACTATTCCTTTTCTCTATCATTTAAGGATTCTAGTAAGCAAGTGTTTCTTATGCATGTGATCAAAAATATGACCCACTTTTACTGGTAGAAAACTTCAGAACAATAAACTCCTATATAGTATGCATTGAAACAGAGCTGAGAAATTTTTCCTATATCATGAATTAAGACACATCAGGATTCATCTTTTCACAGGAAATGAAATTGTAAATTTTGTCTCCAAATCCTTTTATATATATATCTAACATCGTCACAGTGTAAAAACTACCATTGAAGAGGTATTTGCATTTATGCATCATTGATCAATTTGGATATATAGCAATACTAGCTGTACCCAGCCACGCATTGCTGTGGCCCAGTCTGGGAGTAGTGGGGCGGCAGGTGGGTGCTGCCATTTGTCAGGACTTGGGGCTGCTGGGCTGGGTGAGGCTGATTGGGGTAGATGGCGCCGGGACTGTCGGCCTCGTGGAAGTTGTTGAGCATCTCCTTGGAGGAGCTGCGCTCGGGCTCCCACAAGTCAGTGGCCCGGGAGAGTGAGACATCCAGGATCTTGGAGAAGTCCTCGGTGTGCGGCTTCATGGAGCACCCATGGGCCGCCCCAGTCCCGCTGCATCTCA